TTTTTTTTTTTTTTTTTTTTTTTTTTTTTTTTTTTTTTTAATGTTTGCTGCCAATGCTGCATCCAGATTGCATATCAGGTCATTGAGTATTTTATGCCTTCTTGGATATAACGTTATCAGCGTGCCATGGCTATCACCCCACTGTTTGCTCTCCTGCAAATCAGCTGCTTTTAATTTACACTCAAGCAAATTGTTTTGAGTGTTAGCTATTGTCTTTCTAGATATTACAGTCATTTGGAATAAAAATTCAATTTCACCGAGTTGCTTTTGTGATTATTGTGGCTGTCCAGTGGGGCTACACAGGCCTAGGACTTTCTGAGAGGTAGGTCATGGTTGCCAATTGTGTGTGACTTTGGGTAAGCTACTTAATCTCCCTGCAGTACAGTTTTTGCATCATAAAGTAACACTAAGCTATCATTTTTGATCTGCTACTGTGTGCCAGATCGTTTTCTCATCTTCGTTCTTTCCAAGTAGAAATTTTTAAACCCATATAAAGTAGAGAAAATAGCATAATGAATGATGTTCCCATCACCCAGCTTCAAAAATTATCAACTCTCAGACAGTCTTGTTCATCTTTTTTTTTTTGAGATGGAGTTTCACTTTTGTTGCCCAGGCTGGAGTGCAGTGGTGTGATCTTGGCTCACTGCAACCTCCACCTCCCAGGTTCAAGCGATTCTGCTGCCTCAGCCTCCCAAGTAGTTGGGATTACAGGCATGCGCTACCACATGTGGCTAATTTTGTATTTTTAGTAGAGACGGGGTTTCTCCATGTTGGTCAGGCTGGTCTCGAACTCCTGACCTCAGGTGATCTGCCCACCTCGGCCACTCAAAGTGTGGGGATTACAGCCATGAGTCACTGCACCCAGCTTTGTTAATCTTTTAACCTACCTGCATTTCTTCCACACATGCTCCTATCACTAAATTATTTTAAAGCCTTTTCTGATGCTATATCATTTCATCTGTAAATATTCCTATGTGTACCTTTAAGATAACAGCCTTAATACCATTATCACACTTAAAAATTTACCAATAATTCCTTCATATCGTCTAATAATCCAGTCAATATTCTCACTCACTATTATCCCATAGTGTTTTTTTTTTATAGGTGACTTGTTCTAATCAGGTTTCATATAAAGCCCACACTTTGTATTTGATTGAAGTGTCTCAGATCTCTTAAATAGGAAGCTCCTCCTCCCTCTATTTTTTCTTGCCATATATTCAGTGAAGAAGCAGGTTCACTTGCCCTGTAGTTGCCCAGCAGTCCAGATTTGGCCAACTGTGGCCTCATGGTGTTTTTCCACTTGTTTCTCTGTCCCTGGTATTTCCTGTAAACTGGTGGTTACATCAAGAGGCTTGATCAGGTCAAGCTCGATCTTTTTGGCAGGAGCACTGCATAGGTGGGGCTGTGTGCTTCTCTTGCGTCATCTCAGGAGGCACATCACATCTGGCTGTTTCTAAGTTGTTATGATTGCTGGGTGTGTTCAGGTGTTATCAGCCTGATCCAGTCCTGAGAAAGTCCCTACTGGCTTAGCTGCCACTGCTGACCATTGCACAGATGCATCATTCCATTAGGGGCTGTAGCACAGTAAGAATACTATTTATCATTCTGCACTTATTAACTGAAAATTACCAACTTAAAAAAACCAAAAACTTGCCCTCATCAATTGCTTGGTTTCTCTGAGATACAATTTAGACAGAAAAATAACCATCAGTGCTTCTTTCCCTTTATGTGCCAGGTTTCAGAATATTGAGTTGGCCCTACCCTCTTAGACTTAACTTCATCCTCACTACAGCCCTGATTATCCTGACTTTCCAGCTGAGGACCTGGAGACTGCAAGAGGTCAGGAGACGTACTTGAGGTCAGGCAATAAGGGGTGGAGCTGGGATGCCCACTTGAGTCTGCCCATCCCTAAAGCCAGTGATCTTTCCACAAAGGAGCCACAACGTCTTCTCTATCTGTGGCTTATGGAAACACTTGGTAAACCAGAAAGGCGAAGCTTTGACATTTTAACTAGTAGCATCTGAGGCTTCCTTGAGGCTGCTGTAGTTTCACTGCGTCTTGACCTCACAACCAAACAGGAAGATGCTGTGTATCTTCACAGCCCCTGCCTCCTGGTGCAGGAATGAACCATGGGCCTGCCCTCCACTTTCTTGTCAAATTCTCCCTATAGGAGCCTATACCCTCTAACAGCTTTACTCTCCAGCTCTGCACCCTCTAACAGCTTTAACTACTCCCCAGCTTTGCACCCTGATGACTGCAAGTTGTCATTGCCAGCCCTGATCAATTTTGAGTACTGGCCTTTAATGTATACTCAGGCCTGTTAGATCAGCCTTCAACAGGCATCCCAGACTACCACGAAAAAGCTATGCCCATGGCCCCACTGCCCAAACTGCCCTTCCTCTTCTAGCCCCATTGTCTTAGGTCCTGGCATCACTGTCCCTTGGAATCCCCAGCTAGAAACACAGCCATCTTACTTACTCCTCCACCCCCATGTTGCAGGCTGAAGCGGATGTGGAGATGAAACTTTGGGTGCAAGATGTTTATTAAGGATCAACATCTGTGGTCGGGTGTGGTGGCTCACACCTGTAATCCCAGCACTTTGGGAGGCCAAGGTGGGTGGATCACCTGAAATTGGGAGGTCAAGACCAGCCCGGCCAACATGAAGAAACCTGGTCTCTACTAAAAATACAAAAAAAGTTAGCCAGGCGTGGTGGCACATGCCTGTAATCCCAGCTACTCAGAAGGCCAAAGCAGGAGAATGAAAAAGTAGAGAATAACTGTAAGTAAATATACATTGGAAAAGTGATTTAAGTATACATTTTAAAAATAAGGAGAGTCACAATTAGCAAAGTAAAGTAGACTGAAAGGAGAGGCAGATGTGTATTTCCAAAGAAGGAGTCTATTCTGTTCAGTTTCTACTTTATGAGACATCTAATTTTTGGTGATGGGGTGGGGATGCATTTCCAATGCATCCGCACCCCTCAGCTCAAGGCTCCCCCTCCTTCCACGCATCCTGTGCCCCAGCCACGCCACTCCCCAAGAGGGTCCCTCTCCACACCTCCAGGCCATTGCTCAGGCTGTGCTCTTGGCTTGGACCACCCTTTCCCCACTTCTGTCTCTGTGAGCTTCCTCCCCATTCTTTCTTCCCTCCCCCAGGAAGAAATCCCATAGCTGCTTGCACGCATCCATTACCACATGGACTGCACTAAATGACAGTTATTGGTGTGCAAGCCCCTCTTCCCTAGTAGACCCTAAGCTTGGGGAAGGGGAGGGAACTGTGGACTCTCATCTCTGTACCCACTCCTGGCAGACCACCTGACACAAAATCACCGCCGGTGAAGTATTCACCAGTGAGTTGAGCCATTGTACTTACATAGCACCCATCCACGGCAGCTTGTCTGACTTGGAATTTCACCCTGTATTTTCCAAAGAAAAGAAATGAGTACTGGATTTGCGAGATCTAGTTCAACATTTCAATTTTATTGTACTTAAGAACTTTTTTGTCTCAGAAAAAAATTACAAAATTCATTTTATAAAATTCATCCAGAGAAATGATTTCAGTCCCATGTGGTACAAAATACCTTTCCCAAATGGAATAGATGAGTTTATTTAAAAGCCTCTTTTTTCTTTTATTTTTATAACTTTACTTTTAGCTTTTTAACAGACTTTCTATTTTAGAACAGTTTTAGGTTTAGAGAAAAATTGAGCAGATAGCACAGAGAGCTCCCATGTACTCTTCACCACAGTTTCCCCAATTATTAACATCTGGCGTGAGTGTGGTACATTTGATACAACTGATGAACCAATATTGACACATTCCTATTAACTGAAGTCTGTAGCTCACATTAGGGTTCATGCTTTGTGCTGTACATGCTATGGGTTTTTTGTTTGTTTTTGTTTTTTTGTTGTTGTTGTTTTTTGTTTTTTGTTTTTTTTTTTGAGACGGAGTTTCGCTCTTGTTACCCAGGGTGGAGTGCAATGGCGCGATCTCGGCTTACCGCAACCTCCGCCTCCTGGGTTCAGGCAATTCTCCTGCCTCAGCCTCCTGAGTAGCTGGGACTACAGACACACGCCACCATGCCCAGCTAATTTTTTGTAGTTTTAGTAGAGATGGGGTTTCACCATGTTGACCAGGATGGTCTCGATCTCTTGACCTTGTGATCCACCCGCCTCGGCCTCCCAAAGTGCTGGGATTACAGGCTCGAGCCACCGCACCCAGCCCTGTTTTTGTTTTTTGAGACGGAGTCTTGCTCTGTCGCCCATGCTGGTTTGCAGTGGTGCAATCTCGTCTCACTGCAAGCCCTGCCTCCCAGCTTCAAGCAGTTCTCTTGCTTCAGCCTCCCCAAGTAGCTAGGACTACAGATGTGCACCACCATGCCCAGATAATTTTTTGTATCTTTTGTACAGATGGGGTGTCACCATATTGACCAGGCTGGTCTCGAACTCCTGACCTTGTGATCCACCCACATCAGCCTCCCAAAGTACTGGGATTACAGGCGTGAGCCACTGCACCTGGCCACATGCTGTAGGTTTTGAGCAGTGTCATGTATCCACCATCACAGTGTCACACAGAACAGTTTCACAGCCCTAACATCTGCACTCCACCTCCTCATCCCTCCCTCCCTCTCAGTCCCTGCAGCCCCTGGCAATCACTGATCTTTTCACTGTCTTTGTAGTTTTGCCTATTCCACAATGTCACATCCTTCCAGTTTTCAGTAAGTAACACTCTTACACATTTCAAAAGTTAAAACAGTATGAAAAGGTACCACTGAGAACTCTTTCCCACCCCATCCCAGTCTTCCTGTTCCCCATTATCCTACTACCCCAGGGAAACCACTTGTATTAGCCTTTGTCTAGCTTTTATTTATGCAAATATATTTTCTCATTTCCTTTCTTTC